CTTTGAAACTGAGGACATGGTGTCTTAGGTTTGATCAGTTACTACTATAAAATACAGTTAAGCTTATTTTGATAATTGATGGAGTAAGACTTACTCTCATGTAGATGTCAGGTGGCACTTGTTTTCCATGTGTCTCTGTTTCCAGCTGGGCTGGCTTAGGCAGAAACGTGCCACTGAACATCAAGAAATAACAAACTGACGTGAATTATTCCTTTTCCATCCTTCTTATCATTTCAAGGAGTTCATCCCTGCCTTTCAATGACTACAGGGATTTATCAGTTTTCACTGAAGGATCCTATTTTGTCTAGATCCTTCTTTATTTAGTGGTTACAAGATCATATAGAGGAGGCCCCTTGAACTTCGTTAGCCTTTTTTTTTTTTTTTGGAATTACAGCTTTTCAGTGAATTCCCTTTGATACTTTGCCAGATTCTCTCACCAGCTGTTTTTCCCCCAACCATTATATGGTTAATGGGCACAGATTCAGAACTGAAATGAGTAAAATGAGCACAGATGGTTATCTTTCTTATATTCAGCTGAACAGAATGTGTCCCTCAGTGACACTCCATGCACAGTGCTTGGCAGTGGGAACTTTACCAAGAAATGCCAGCTCAGCTCTCGTTCCTTTGGGAGGGCAAGCAGAGGAGCCTGTAGAGCTTGCTTTAAATTTTCTCCCTTGCTTTGCTGTTGCTATTATTGTGTGCAAGGTTTATTTGGCTTTTCAGTGAACAGAAAATCTTGAATGTATTTGATGTGGAATCCACCACTTTCTAACAATTCCATGTGCTGTTTGGTTTCTTTGGATCCACAAGAAGAGCCCAAATGTTAGCCAAATTGTCTTGACATCTTCAAGAGAAGAACCTCTGTTCTAAGCTAGGGGAGACGTATTAAAAGTACAGTTCTTCCTTTCCACAGAACAGTGTTCACAAAGGTAGATGTTTTCTGACTCTGAGGTAGGATTAATATCTGCAGATTCAGGATCTGTCTGATGCTCCATCCTCTCTGGGAAAAAAGATATATATTGAACCAAATCTGAATTTATTTAATTAAAATAAAAGTTAAAAACACCCAGAAACTTGAAATCACCTGTTTTTCTGAAACTCTGGGATGAAACTGAATGAGTCTGGCAGAAAATTCCCAAGCTGTACAGCAGCTCTGTAGCAGAAACCACGCCAGCTTCTTGAACTTCACCCCTTTAACATTTCCACTGGCTTTCCATTTTTTAACAGCACAGAAGAAGGCAAACCTGACCTTGGTGAACTCTTGTAAGCAATGTGTCAACAGAACAGGAAAAATAGAAAACCAGCTCCAATTCAGCAGGAATCAGCAACCCCTCTGAAAGTGCTGCATGCTAGAAGAGGGGTGATCATCTTATGCAAACCACTGCAGGCTCCAACAGGAACTTCTCCGTGCTGCTGTTATGCCCTGGCTCTCACAAGTTTCATTCTAACAAAGAATGACTTGGTTTTCTTCATTTGCTGAGTTTCACTATTAGGCTATGGGGCTTTGCCCTCATATTTGAGGGAAAGAGAAGCACTGATGTTGGCTTCAGTGGTTGCCTTTCATGCTGAAACATTGTCAGCCTAATATATTTTATTGGCAGCAACTGAAGTCAGATGCTTAAACCTCATATGGAGAGTGAATATTTGCAGAGAGGGGTTGTACCGAACTGCCTCATGTACTTGCATATGTCTGAATGGCAGTAAGCCACAGACCCCAAATGTTTTTCTCTCTCTGTCTTCTGGTCTTCAGTAATTTAATTCCTCTACTGCATGGATGGTGGCTGGTCCCTTCAGAAACACATATTAACTGGTCCCCCTTGAGCATGAGATTTCTCCTCTGTGTCTTCCCAAGGCAGGTATGAAGGCTGGCTGCTTCCAGGTGCTGCCGGCACTGCTTAGCTTCCACTTCACATTCCCCAAATTCCATCCTGGTGTGCCTAGGCAGATATGTCTTGGCTGCTTAAATTGAAAAACAATAACATTCAAATGCACAGGGGTCAAACAGAAAGTCAGGTAACTGCTTTAGGCTTAGACTAAGATTACCAAGAGGGAGAGATTCTGTGAATAGTAAAGCTGAAAGGACTGGCCTTGAATGCAGCAGTGAGGAAGCAGAGGCAGCCCTACAGAGAGACAAACAGTCTGAGCATGGATATGATGTGAAGAGTGAGAAACAACTGGGTGAAGCAATTTCCAATAGTTTTAACTCCAAGGAATTGGGGAGCAGGACCAGCTGTAGCACAACCGAACTGCAAACATTCAGAAAGTTTTGTATTTGTGGTAGTGTTTTAAAGATCCTTGCCTACTTTGCTTTTGTTTTTTCTCACCCTTTTACCAGCGAGTGTAGATGACAAGCAGAGCTGGAAATCACAATATTAAATTCTTCACTAACCACAAATTCTCTATGACTATAAAGAGAAAGGCAAAGTGATGTGAAGAAAAAAGGCCACTAGAGTTCATCTAATGACACCATGTGTGAGGCAGTCAGGATGCTCGGTGAAGTAAATGAAACCATGTTACTGTATAAGGAAAGATTTGGGTATAGTGACTGTTATATCTGAATGATCACGGCATGCAAGTACAGAAGACAATGATCTTTGCAGAGTTTGTGGAGAAGCAAATCCTTGCTTTATCTAGGCACTGCTGAACTTTGCAGACCAGTGCGTTAGTGCCACACCAGGTCAGCAGGGCTATAATTGTCTCTAACCAGAACAGTCAAAAGTTGCAGAGTTCACTCTCTGCTGGGTGAGTGACACCCAGAAATTCTTTCTAGACTTAAAAACAAGCAAAGAGACAAGTTTGAACCTGAACTTCAGTGTAATCATGCCACTCAGCAGCATAAACAAACATGGTACCAATTGGAAAATTATTCTTGAGGAGTCAGTTTTGACTGATCCAGATAAGAAGTTCCCAAAGTTAGGGTCGTGCCCCTGAGGAGTGCTGAAAGAAGAGAGGTCACAAGCCCAGAAAGGAGGTTTCAGGCTGAAAATCTTGGAAACTGCTGATCTAGACAAATAAATGGTCATGCCAAGGGGGTTCCCCTAGAATATCTCTTTTCCATTCTCCTGCCTTGCAAGCAATAACTGGAGGGAGTTTTAAAGCTGGCAAGGCTAGCCTGTTTGTAACGTGCTGATGTATTTCTAAAAGCAGATCTCTGGAAAAGAGCCTGAGATCAGGGAGATGAGAGCAAGGCAGGCTCTTGAGGGAAGGATGTGGAACAAAGAGAAGGGGAGGAGAGGCAGGTCTGTGGGAAACAGGATCTGCAAAGGAAAAGTAAGATTGAGTGGAAGAGATGGAGGCTTATTAAGGTTGTAAGACAGCTTTGTAGTCTAACTTGGAAGGTTACATTAGTCTCACAACAGCTTTGAAAGACAAAGCCCTTGGTGCTGAGCTGCATACCATCATGTGGAAACTAGCATAATTTTTGGTGGAATTAATGTGTGGTCAGAGTAAGGTATGTATAACTGATGCATACACAGAAATAAGGCAAGATCTTTGAGTCTCCAGATGGCTGTCTTCACTCTCCTGGTGCTTTGAAAACTACCAACGTCAGGTTCTGAATTTACTTACATTAAGAGAAAACCACTGTTACTGGGAAATTCTGCAGATTAGTTTATAATGAAAAAATTGGAAAATATAAGCAGACCAAAAAATCAGCATGGCTTACACTCTTAATTTTGTCTCATCATTATTTAAAAAAAAAAAAAAAAAAAAAAAGTTTTATCAATATTTAGTAAAAGTCTCTAAACGTTGAATACTGGTGATTCGTTTTGCCAGCAAAGTGGTAAGTTGTTGTTTGTGGCAAAGATTTTCAGCCCAGCCAAGGGCTGAAAGTGCAAATTTTTCAGAAAGACCCCACAGAACCTTTCAGTATCTAAAGGAGGGCTACAAGAAAGGAGGAGACAGACTCTTCAAGAGGGCCTGTTGTAATAGGACAAAGGGAAATGGCTTCAGACTAAAAGAAGGGAGACTCAGATTGACTATAAGGAAAAAGCTTTTTACAGTAAGGGTGGTGAGGCACTCCATCAGGCTGGATGAGCTCTGAGCACCTGTTGGAGCTGTGGGTATCCTTGTTCATTGCGGTGGAGTTGGACCAGATGGGCTTAAAGGTCCCTTCCAACTCAAATGGTCACATCAGGCTGCTGACACACGTCCTGTGCTGAGGACTCAGGAGGCCGAGTCTCCTTGCTGCTAAGGTTTGTGGGAACCTGCTGAACTCTCCCCTGGGCTGCACAAAATAAACAGAGCACCTGCAAGTCATGTGGGCTTTTATAATACCAAATTAGTGTAAGGATAAGAGGGGTGTTGGCACCGTGAAATGGGTATTTTGAACAATTTTGTCTACAGCACCCTACTTGCTACCCAAGGGCACGGAGGATGAAAGCAATAGATTTGGGGCAATTAGGAGGGAGTATAGCAATCATGCAAGTTCAAGTCAGGGACGGGAACTAGGCCTGGAGGTTAGTAAGCCAGCACAGGTCATCATCATAAAACAAACATCGGGGCTGTGTGGTGCAATACCTGTCTGAGGCTATGTGCTAGAAACAATGCAGAGGTAAAGTCAATAACGTTGTGTGGTATTTATTTAGTAGCGTTATGTTGAGTGGTATTAATGGACCAGGAGATCGCTGCAGGGGTTGCCTGGGTGCTCTAAGATGGAGCTGGCCAGGCCTGTTGCAGCACAGAGGCAGGCAGTGCTGCAGGGACAAGGCCACAGGGCAAGGCGGGGACAAGTTGCCCTGCTGCTCCAGTTACTGCTGCAGGAACTAGTGCTGACCCACAGACACAGGTGCTAGAGGAAGCCCAGAGGAGGTGTTGTGCTGAAGACCCTGAGAGCAAGGGAAGGCAGGCAGACCTGAGCCTTAAGCACACTACTGGGGTGGATTCTTGAGCAAGGCAACTCTTTTCTGCTGCTTGTTTTTAGCGAGAAAAAAAATGTTGTGAGCCTCTTTGTGATTAAATGAACATGTACCAAGACTGAACCTGTTTTGAATCCTGTACAGCTTTAAACAGCAACAAATTGGTCACACGAGCGATGCCAAAACTTCAGGCCTCCGTGTCAAGAGCCATGGACACTTTGCTCTTGAAAGAACCTGATTTTGCAGGATGCTCTGGTCTGAATTTGTCGGTAAGATTTGTTTAAGACTTTTGTGTGCTTATCTCTCAAGTGCGGGAATAGTTTTAGTGAAGCCATAGCAATCATTCACATATAAAGTTACAGGCATGCTTCAGACAAGACCAGATTGGTGCAGAACCAGTCCTTATCTCCTGTTCTGGTGATCCAGTCTGGACCAGTCCCTACAAGTTTCTCTTCAGAGTTTAAACTAAGCCTTTGGTTTGAGAATTGTGAGGTTTTATTTTCATAATTACCTTTAGTTTCAGAGCTGCCCTTGAGGCTATTTGGAATCCATTGAAATATGCTGAATTCTAAATCAGATGTTTCTGTATTTCGTGTCAAAGGCACAGATATGAGGTTTATGATACCTTCTGCTGTGCTCAGAATCTATCATTCCAGCTAGGGTGATTTTTTTCTTTACATCAAAGCATATGACTTTGGTTTCCCAGCTACTTCCTCAAATACCTTTTCCAGTTTTCAGAATAACTTATGGGGAAAAAAAGTACAGATATCATCATGATGCTCAAAATTGTCATAGTTTTAACTATGTGACTAGTGACCATACAAATGTAAAGAAGGGGTCCAGGTTCATGTTACAGGACATTCATGTTCAGCTTTACACTGACTCCAGTGGTTGCTGGCTTTAGTACATTAGCAATCCAGTCCTATAGCTCGTCCAGTTCATCTCCATATGTACATTTAATTTCCAATGTATTTCTGGTAGTCAGATTGTTTTCATGATGCTATCCATAACCATCTCAAGATACATGGCATCCTTTTTGCAAGGGAAGTTTTCTAGAGAGCAGACAGGAATTTTTGGTTCTTATATTCTTCTAAAGATTCTTCATTCTTCCTATTACTGCTGATTATAGAGCTCATTTCTGTGATACCACCCTTAAATTGTTTGCAGGTTAACATGCCAGCTGTTGAAACATAACATAAGGGCTAATTTATACCCCAATGGAGCTCCTGTGTACTGAAAGGAACTTTTCCTGGACAAAATATGTTTTCAGCCTATCCAAAATCTTTAAGTCTTCAGAAAAAGTCCTTTATGTGAAATGTAATGCTCCCACTTGAAAGCTAGGCATGATAAAAATACCAGAATACAAGATGGGAGGGAGGAGGAGAAAAAAAAAAAAAAAAGGATTTTCTTGCTACAGGCTTTTGGGGAATGTAGCTGTAGAAACAGATGAATTCACTTAATGAAGCAACTTTGGAGTATAAGTTTTCTATCTGTAGACAAAAGACAGTTCTTATATTTCAGTAGTAGCAGTGTTTTCTAAGAAGCTGTGACTGTGACCTTTAATATCATTATATATGAATTTGTGTATGTGAATGTGATATACAAATATGTTAATGAATCAAACAACTTGGGACCTTCCAAGTTAATGAGCTGATGCAAATTTCTGAGTCATCGCAGCTCAAAACCATGTTCTGAATTTTTACAGTATTCTGGGATGCAGAGGGAACATCAGGTATTTGATCTGACTGATACCATCAAGTGCCTTCCTTTAAGTTTCCTAATGTATGTCTTAGAGACAGCCAGATGCACACATGCACCTGGAAACGAATGGACTGACATAACGTGGGACATATTCAAATTTATCAGAGAAGTGAAGCAAGTCAGCTAACTACAGCAATTAATCTGTAGCAGAATAGGGCTTCAACAAGTATTCAAGCTTCAGTTAGTTTGCATCATCTTAACATCTCTCTTCTTCCTTGCTCTTCCCTTATGTTGTGTTTCCTAGTTCGTACATACACTGCCACATACAGATTCCTGTATGGAACTGGGCAGATTCCTGGCAGATCCAACCAAGGACAGTAATGTCAGCACAGAGACCATTTGTGGAATGGTCTAGGTGGTATCTAATGCGTTGTAGTTTCTGCTGAATTCTTATTCCCTTGTTTCTAATCCTATATAATGGTGACAACTAAGTCCTGCTAGCTGTTTCTGAGAGGTATTCTGGAACGTGGCCTTTAGTAACAGGGAATTGAAAAATGGCAGGAGAGTGCCTTCCGGTCCTGCACTCCTTCAAAGAGTTCCTTAACAATGCACAGTATTTCTTGATGCTGCATAATACCTATTTCTGAATTCCAGCTGCAGCTCAGGCTTTCTTCTTGGTCCTGCTGGAGTAGCTGGCATTGTTTCATCTGATACCAGGGGGAGTCTGTTCAAAGAAGAAAAAAGAAGAAAAAACACACAAAAATGTGTTTAAAGCATTTCCATCCAATCTGAACATGATTTTTCAAGATCTTGCAGAGTGTCTGTAGCATAGGCAGCTACAGTATTAATAGCACTTTACTAACAATGTACCAGAGCCCTGTAACTCTCATATAATAAATGAATTGTAAATACCACTCTCAGCACAAACAATTAACAGGATCTATATTGCATTCTTTCTATAAAGACTGTCAGTTCCCCCATGCTCTGAGCGTGCTGAAATTCTCAGAGAAACTGTAACTGAGTGCAATTACTATTGGATCTAAATATTTTTTGTTGTTGATGATGTCATCAAAAATGATAAAATGTATGAAATTTCATACCTTCGTGGCAGCACATCCCAGCTTTACAAAGGCAGGCTGTGGCTGAGTAGTGCATTTTTTAATGTTTAGCATAGATTAGGAGGATCATTTGCATGAACATCAATTTCTGCAGCGCAAAAAGTTTACTGAGAAGCACCTCACTTTTGGTTTCCAGAAATCAGAAAGTGAAATTTGTACGTATGTTTACAAGAATTGGAAGCTGAACTTCAGGAAGTCACATGATTTCCAGTTACGCCCCATATACGGGCATTTAGGTCATGAAAGCAATAAAAAAAACACTTGCTGTTACAAGTCTGAAGCTGACATGCATTATCTCTGTGTAGCCATGTTCCCAGGCGTATGGCATTAGGTTCTTCCCTCTTTGTTCCAAGAAATTATACCACTAGGTAGTTCAGAGAAGTCACAGTCCCAAACTGAATGTACAGTGGCTGATACAGGGAGGAGTTTTCTTTGGAAGCTCAGAAGGACAGTATCCAGTAGAAAGAAAAGCACAGCCCCTTGTATACTTGACTGTCAATAGCTGAGTAAGTAACTCCCAGGCAAATAACCGTGTATGGGGGGAAAACCTTGAGGGACGTGACTTAGTGGGCATGGTGGTGATGAGTTGATGGTTGGACTATATCTTAGTGGTCTTTTCCAACCTTAATGATTCGATGATTTAACTTTATCTGAGTAAGAAAAGTAGAATACAAGAAAGGAAAAATCTACTGTTAGCTAAACTCATAGATGTGCATTTTCTACCAACTTTTCCTAAATGACTACAAGCCCTGCTGCTTCCATCTCCTGTAGAGAATGGTGTGGTTCAGAAGAGGTGTCGTGAGGTCAAGTGTTTATGACAGTGCCACTGATATATAATGCAAACATGCATTTTTTGTTGTTGTTGTTAACTTTGCCTGCGTTGGTTGAATTGCTCACCTCCAATAAAACAAGTTAACTCCCTAGATTTAGGGTACTCCTGTGCCTCATCTGACTCTTTCAAGGCGGCTCTGAGCCAGATCTTTCTTTCCCCACCTTACTCCTCAAATGCGTGTGCTCTCTTTCTGTGGACACTCATAAATGCAGCATGGGGAAAGTGTCTGTGTACCTGAGGGTAACTCAGCTGACTCCCTGGGCAATGGCAGTTAAAGGAGAATTCAGAAATTTGGAACAGAATCATTACTTCAGATATGTTCCAAAAGTGCTGTCTGTTTTCCCTCCAGGAAAGGAAACTGAGCTGAATTGCAATAGAAGCAACTGTGGGATTTTTGGAAGACAGTAGATGGAATAAGGATAAATCTATGTGTTGTGAGTGGGTAGATCCATCCTATGGGTACCAAATTCTTGCATTCTACACAGCAACCAGTCAGTTTCTTTAGCTAGAGGCTGCAAGTTTCATCCCAAACAGCAAGAAGTTCCTGCTATTGTAGAGCCCAAAAAGTATCCTTAGTAACGTAGAAACCCCTCTGTTGCTTATCAGCATAAATATAATCAGGATGCCTTTACAGTAGAACATTTGCTAAGAGAACTGGAGTTCAGTGATGCCCATACTCTGTTTTTCTATAGACAGCTGCTTTGGTATATTTTTGCATGATGAATCTTAACCAAAATCCATATTCAAAGATTTCCTCCAGACAAACCTTGGGCTGATGACCTCTGAGGAGGAGGGAGCCTGATCTGTGTAGAAGCATCAATATTGACTGCAGGATGCAAAGTAACATCTGAAATATAAGGAAGACCTTCTATAAATGTGTGATGAGGCCTTTCTGTTCCTATAATTAAAACATTTATGTGGTTGAGCTCCTCCTTTCAAAACACACCCCTGTGAAGACTACCAAAACCACTCCTTCAGAGGTCTGCAGACAGTTACCCAGGTAATGAAGAAGGGCAGGGTGAAGGAGGAGGAAGATTAAGCACGGATAATAGAAAATATATGTCAGCGACCCTGTGACTATTCAGGGTGTTCATCTTTTATAATATGGGAAGTGTATTTCCTTAGAGCACCAGGAAAATGCTGGCAGGTGTGAGATAATCAAGCACTGGCCATGTTCTTTATATTATTTTACTGTTTTCTTCATTAAAGCATCCATTTTCAACCAGCCATAATCAAAAGTGCTGCCACGTTGATATTCTTCCACATATATTCTAATTATTCACTGGATTTGGAGGTGCTCTTAAGCTTAAGTTATGCTATATAATCTAACATGTAGTATATATGTTTTTAATATATAATACAAGGGTAACACTGACCAGGAAGTGGAGATGCTACAAAACTCTTTGCAATGCATCAGAATGCAGCTCACAATCATTTTTGAAGATCACTACACTGACAGTGGAAAAGACTTATTTTCCTGTCAGTAGAGACACTCCTCTGCTGTGACCACATCTCACATTTTATATTGGCTCCTTTATTCTTTCTAGAAAGGAAAATAAAATGTCCTTTAGTGATCAATACATCTTGAGTCTGTAATACTGAGTCTTTCCTGATGGTTTCAAATGCTGGAGGACTCTCATAGTTCTTATAACAACTGTGTGTCAGCTTTAGGATTTGAATCTACAGGCTGAAATCCCTTACCCCAAAGAAGAGGCAAACCCTTCCAGAGGCACTCAGCAGTAGCCTTCCCGCCTGATTCAGCACTGTTGATGCCAGTGTAAGTTTTACTCAGGATTTCACAAGGCTCCTAATCAGGCCTGAGGACTGTGGTCCTTTCTTTGCTCCATCTCTTTGTGCAGTTAATGAGCTTACACTTACATAAGGTGTGTAAGAGGGGCTTCGTGCCATGCATGATGGGAGCTTTGCCCCAAAGCACTGACAGCGTGAGTTCAGATTTGGCACAAGGAGGGAAAGTTATAAACAAAATGTGTCATGGCAGTGAGATCAAGGGTTGCTCTGGTTTGGTAGGTGAATATCCTGATGGCCACGCTGATTAAATTGAGTGAGTCACAGCTGTAGGCTGGGAGGAAGAAGTGGGATGGCAGAAGGATGTGACTGTGCAGAGACCTGGTGAGCAGAGATTAGGAGGGCAGTTCGTGCCCAGAGAATAGCTTGTCTACTGGTGTCATTGTTTTAGGCATTTAAAACAGACTGGGTTGATCACTAACGAAGATGCCCAAGGGAACAATGTTGTACCGATTATCTTCCTGAGAGTTTGGCTGTTTTGGTTCTCTTTATTCTATACAACAGAGCTTGTTTGTGATGTTTCATCTTTAGTTAGAATGTCTCTAATTTGGACATCCATTTAATTTGGAAGGTTTCCACCAGACACCAATGAGACTGTCTGATTAAAGTCATGACTTACAACCAAACTCGCTCCATGTTGCTGACCGCAGTTTGGTTATGAATTGTGAAAGAATGTTAAAATCCAGTGTATTTTTCTCTGTGTGTGCTCTGTTTATTTTTATTTTTAACATTTTGATTGGGCAATGAAAAATGTCAGTGATGCTAGTTGCATGTCTTTAGGTACAAATTTGCCTTTCAGCTATTGCATGGGAGTGATTATTTGCTTTTAGAGACTGACATCTGCGGATTTTTAGTTCATTCTTCTTAAGTCTCTGGAAAAAAATATGGCATTGCATAAAAGCCTGCAGTATGAAAGGTAAAAGCAGAGCCAATATGGGGACTACAAAATCTTTTCATGTCTATGACTTCCAGAGAGCAACAGCAACAATCTGAACAGAGGCTGAAAGCAGCAGCATTATTGCTTCTCTTTCTCCTGAATTCCTTTCATCAGCCTAGTGACTGCATGTGTCCTGATGACACATTTCTGGGTCACGTGTCCCCAAAAGATGGGCTATATGGAGACACACAGCATGGAAAGTATTCTCACCAGAGACTAGTTATGTTGACAGGTTCCTCGTGTGACGTACATTTCTATATTCCTCACATGGACTTTATTAATAGCACAAGGCTGAGACAGAGCCAGTTATTATTCTTTATGTAAATAAAACAACAGAAATAAATGCTCTCTTGTTCCTTATCGTATTAAACCTGCAAATAGCTTATTACCCTATAAGGCAGCTTAGGCTGGCATATGAGAGCACTGGAAAACACAGAGCAGGCGCCAAGATCTGCCCAGCCAAGCTGTGTAGGAGAGGAGTGAAGGCACAGTCCAGAGCTGGAGGAAGAATAGGAGGCTCGGGTAATTACTGTAAAAGCCACCCTCAAGCATAACCAAGCTGGATGCTTGTTTTGTTTTTTGGTCCAGTGGAAATACTGCAATGGAAGAGCTGGATAGTTTTCTTCCTTGACAACATCAGAGATGTTGCTGCTTTTCCCAGTCAGCTGTCTCCCATTCACTGGGACCTGGACTACCCACTCTGCAGGACAGTGCTCTGGTTAGGAGGTCAGAGACAGAACATTCTGTAAGTGTAAGCTGTTCTTATTCAGACACTTCTCAGGCTCATCGGTCACTTCCACTGAAGTAATAGTTTTTTCAGCTAGCAGTAGCAGCAAACTGTTGCCCTGGTGTATGAGTTAAATACATGGAGGTACAAAGCAGCGTTAGACGCTGTGAATCCTGTCCTTTCTGTTAGTGCTTTCTTCTGCCACCAATCTGGGTGGGAGGGACTTTTATTAGTTGTGAGTCTTCCATCCTGATCACAACCAGTTCCTTTTATCTTCATCACCATGGAGAAGTACAAAAGGCAGTTTGACAGAGGATGAAGCTATTGCTGACGTGATGAATATGAACTAAACCTGGAATTCCTAAACATGCAGGGCCTTCGGCCTTGCTCTGAGTTCATCATTGATAACTATTAAAAGGGATTGCATTTTTACAGGTTCAGTCTAAGAAATAAATACTTTTCAGTTGTAACATTCAGAAAATTCCCCTGTGTTCTTAAGTTCAAATGATGGAAATAAATGATAGAAATGGTGTTTAAGTGCTAAGCAGGATGTGGCAATAGAGTTATTTCATTTACATCTGCACTGTGAGCAAGAAATTCATCATAAATGTACCAGGTCAATGTGGTTTTCCACCATGCTTATGAGGGTGATTTACCTCCTGTGTAATCAAAATAAAGACACATTAGTGGCTAGGAATATTTGCTAAGTCATCCAAGTTGACATGTTTTATCTGTAGGGGGGAAATTGATTTTGAATTCTACTGATTTCCTTTCCTTTATGTCTCAGTTAAACACACCACAAAATGATTTCATGAAAATTTTCTGCCG